CCATCACTGGTCGTCAATGTAAATTTTGCAACTTGCGAAATTATTTACGTCATCGCGAACTGTCTAAATCCATTGTGTTTAGGTGTATGTGACAGATCTTGACGTGCTCTTTCAGATTACGTCCAACACATCGCTATAGGATATATACTTCATGAGGAATTCACGAAAGAAAAAAGAAAAAAATCGGCCCATCACTGGTCGATCACGTTAACTAGTATTCAATTTCTCAACTACATTTCTAGACATAACTACTTCAGTCAATGCACTCCACCAACGTAAGGGAAACGTCGTCTTCTGGATCCAAAGCCTCGACAACACCAGTGTCGCAGAGATCCTGCAAGACGTCATCGCCACTAGAGTCTTCGGGATCCTGTTGGGTATGGTCTACAAGAGATGTACCAGGGTCAATAATTTGGCACTTTTCGAATCCTTTCACAATTGTTGTCGTAGGCAGTTCGTCCCAGACATCAGAGATCCACTCGACGATATCCCAGCGCCCAGGACACTTCAGTCGAAACGCCCTGCCTCCGCCTCGGCCGTTAAGCTCAATTGATCGTCGTAGGTAGTCAACCCATTTACGTCGCATTGATGCTTTGATAAGCTTCATCCAAGCAACATCGGCAGGCTGGCATATCCATATGAAAGTTGGCGGCACACGGTAGAGGTACACTTGTAGGTCCTCATTCCACCAGGCCGAAGGGTTCTCGTAGATTTGGAGGGGGAAGTTGGCTTCGAGGTCTTCTATTTCCTTCCAAACTTGACGCCCAAAACCGTGACGTTGGGTAAGGTTTTCTTGAACAACTCCCTTAATTGTTGATGCTTTACTCTTCAGGATACTTCGTTCCCTTGGAATCGGCCAGAGGCATAGCAGTCACGCGATCCTTGTCGTGACCAGACACCTTGATCCACACAGTCTTGGCACCTTTTTTGTCCATCGTTTGCTTTGGAAGGTATTCGTAGTTGATTCCTGTTTGATCTGCATTAAATACTTCGACGATGCGATTGTCCTTGATGACCTTCCGAATAGACGTCTTAAACTCGGCAAGAGCTTTCTCTCCATCAGCAACGTTCGCTTGGCCAGAGCGAGTCTCCGCTCGGATCGCAAGTCCCCACCGCATCATGAACCCTTTCATCCACGATGGACTTGCCTTGAACTGGTCACTGCTAAGCCTTGTTCCAACGCCACATCCATTGCCTTGCACGCGAGGAGTGTCTTCGATACAGGTATGCCATCTTCATGAAGTTCAGATACCCATTGAGCAATGTTTTTCTCTGCAACACGGGTGAGCGTTGTAGATATGCCTTGCTTGCGTAGTGTACGCATGTCCCGCGTTCGAGCCTTGGAACAAGCCATAGTGATGTGGTCCCGTTGTGATTCCCATTGCAGGATCTGCTTTCAGACTGTTGTGCGCTTGTCTCCCGCAACACCAGGGAAGAACGTGTCGATGACGGACTCCATGGAATGTTCTTTGCGCCAGTTGATTATATGAAGCTTTTTCTCGTAGGTATGGTAGAGGTTTTTGTGCTTCTTGGGCATTCGCTTGATTTGCTTGGTATTAGGACGCCCAGTGCGTCGGCCATCGAGCTCAGTTGGCGCCATTATTGTTGCAACTTGCCGCCTTTCTGCAAATCAATGCAAAATTTATAAAGTTTCATGGGTATTGTTTACGAACGAGGTATTGCAGAAAATAATATATTGACTGAATAAGTATTTACAGGTTTTTTCTCTTCGCAACTGACATGCCAACTGAAGTACCTCCAAATGACAGTGCAGTTTTTCCTTTTGTTATGGGTGCCTCAACACTCTCCTTGCCCCAATGCCATTTTGGGGCAGATTTCAACAAACTGATCAACATTGAAACGTGTCTTGCTTGAAGAGTTTTAACACTAATCCAATAATTTCACGTGGGATTTACTCCTTGAGGAGGTTCAAAACGCCATAATACAACATGGACAATTTACCTCCATTTTGAAAATGGCATTTTGCGAGAAAATGGATTATTATTTTTGA